ACAACTTGTCATCCAGTTGGCCAAGGTGGGTAATGATTTATGCTGGGTGGATAATAAAGCATGTTTATAATATATATGATACCATTCTAATTGGTAATTCTGCAAGAGATTCTCAAAGGACACTGTCAGTTCAGCACCATTCTTTTTCATTCTGTTAAATTAGATCCAATTTTCAAGGTAGGTTTGTTGTTTTAGAAGATTCTGGTACCACCATACTTAGAAGACAAGGGAGAAAGCTATTCTCTATTTAGAGAAGGAAGAAGGTAACTGCATTCTGGGAAATGTTTAACTGAAAAATTGGACACTTTCTAACAGGCCAACAGAGCAATGTCATCATAATACTTGTATTGTTAGACAACACTTTATAAGAACTGTTATTTTACTTTTAGGGTAAGAAGAGCTGGGGGTGAGGGAGAAATAAAGCAAAACAAAGCAATAAATAATGTCCCTACTTCAGGTTGTTCCCTAGCACTAGTTAACTATCACTAAAAAAAAAACACCCCAAAAAACAAAAAAAAATTTTTGAATGAAGTACAGTTATTATGAGGAAAATGCAGTAGGGACAAAGGATACTAGAGTAGGTAGTTTCCTTAATCCTTGTAATAAGTGCTGACATGATAGATGGAAAATAACTGAGATCTTTAAATAGTTTCTTACTGACTACTGTGACTTAGTGACCCTGGCAAGCATGTAAGTGTTCTTTTAAAGACTGATCTTGGCAACTCATAATGGAATTACTTTTCTTTAAATTTTAGTATCTATAGAAATAAAAGGCTTAGATGAAATATATCAGAGTGTTGGCATAAAAGATGTACAGTGAATGAATGATGCATAGGGTTGTGAGAACTTTTTTGGGAAGGAATATGACATTCTGTGAGATAATTCTTCAGAATAAGACACTAGCATTTTTTTAAAAAAGGAACACACTATTTAATATGAAAGAAAATATTTTTGATATTTGATGAATAAAGTAAAAAAAACAACAGTATCTTAGAAACAAAAAAATTAAAGATTTAAAAACTTACTGTAGAGTCTTTTTAAAGTTAAATAATAATCCCAAATATGTACTTTAAGCTTGCGTGGTTACTTGGTTACTGCATCATATCTGAACATTCTATGATAAGCAAAAGTGACAGCCTACAAATATTGGAGATGCTCGGCAATCCATGTATTTTTAAAAATCACTATATCTACAACCACTTTCACGCAGAAAATAAGATATATATTCTTTGCCACAAGAGAGTTGAGATTTCTTTATCTTGGTTTTGACTGACATCAAACAGAATCAGTCCTCCATATGCACTTATTACACTCTTATTTGTTTTTAGATCAATGATACAGTATAGAGCAGAAATATTCTTCCAATTAAAAAAAAAGTACGGGTAAGCCCATCAAGTTGTTTCAACTTGGTTACAGCTGTCTCATTGAAGTAAGTGAGAGATAAGGCTTAGAAAAGACAGACAAAAGATTCACTCTCAAACTCTTCTTCCTGTGTTACCATCATGAAATGATGCTAGATCTTAAATCTTTTGAGAGATTAATTTATTTAAATCCTTTTAAGTTCTTTTCAGAGAAAAGCACTTAATAGAGACCAACTTGATTTTGTATTTAAAATTCAAATAATTTTAAGATCCACATCTAAGATCTACTTCCTATTCTTTCACTTGGATAAATGTCGTTATTTTTCCCCCTCACTCCAAACAACCCAAGTTTTATACTATATTGCAGCTCTTTGTCTTTCGGCTATAAGTAGAAACATTGAGAGAAAAGGCTATGTGTATCCAGACCAATTTCTACACCAAAGAAAATAGGATAAGTGGTATTAAACTGCAAAGATGTGGGCATTTGATTTTCTATGAATCAATAGCATTTTCAAAATAATTTTTATGACCTCCCTTACAGTTGCATTTTCTTTTTCAGATTTATTTTTAACATTCTCTTCATTCATCTGTTCACTCATTAGCAAACACTGAGAGTATATATAGTGGGCACAAAACTGCTTTTCCCACAAAAAGCAAATTTAGTGGTCAGAACAGTAGGTGTATTAACATACTGAGAGAAGATGTCCTACCATGAACACAACTTGGAAATAGCATATTCCAACACTTACTGCTTTGAGGCATCTCAGTCTTAGGTTAGTCCTGAATGCCATTTTAAATCTGAAACAAGTAGTTTTCTCTTTATGAGTAGAAGTGTTGTCTACGTAACTAACATTCAAGTTATTTCATAAAGTTGGAAGAATGGAAATATGGCCCCATGGTGTCTTGATTTATACTAGTCTTTGTTCAATTTTGGATCCAATATTACTCAGACAGGCAGGAACCACTTGCTATTTTGTATAGTGTGTGCTCCACCTAGACGCTTCCTGAATGGTTATTATTGTTCCCACCATTATTAATTGTATGATTGTATTATCAAAATAACCAGAGTAACAGTAATAAGAATGACTGTTTCAACCCTAATAATTCCTGGTAATGATGTAGTATATATTTTTGTTACAATGGCAAAAAGCAAGCAGGCAAACAAGCTAATTACAATCTCCCATCCATCTATGAAGGTCTATTTCCTTGGAATTCCCTTACTCCATATCCACTAAAAATGAGTATTATATGTGGAGATCTAAAAAAAGAATAAACTATTCAAAATTTAATGGGATCCCTCCTGATATAATCCCTATATTTTATAAGGTGAGTGAAATCTTTTTACATAAATTATCAGACAGTTTCCAGATAAAAATTACTTCTTGCCACTATCTGTCTCATTTTGATTTTAACCAGGCACCTAGATTTTTTTTTAAAAATGCTCTATATTCTTTGAAACAATTCCTGATTCAACCAGCTGTCCCTTACTTCTGGTCTTTATCCATACATTCATATATCAAGCAAACTGAAAGCAAATCCAAATAGTATTCTTTGATTTTTCAGCACAGAAAAGTTTAGCATCAAATCAGTTAAAAGAACTGAGACAAGTATTTGATGTGCCTATTGACTTCCCATTAACCTTGAGAGTAAATGTAGCTATGGTCAAACAAAAGAACATAGTGATGCGATGGTTAATGAGCAAAAAGGACTGATAAACCACTGAATCAATAAATACAAAGGGGCATATCATTTAGTAGATTAGATCAGCTATCTATCAAAAGGTGAGGCAACATTTCATCCTGACAAAACTTGCAAAATTATAGTTCCTTGATAGCTATGACAAATCTTTTGCCTAAGTTTTCTTAGGGAAATAACTGGAGCAGTGTTTTTGTGTTAAAATAGTTTTTTTGGTAAACTATTGATAAAACCATATTAGCTTGGAAATACAATGAAAACAAATATCACAAAATTAATGTAATTGCAGGCCCGTAGTGAGTGAATCTGTCTGTTCATAACAAATTTATGTGCCATTCAAAAATATTATGACCTAACAGAAGGAAGAGTTTCTCATTTCAGTAAGACTTATTTAGATTCCCCTCATTAGCTACTTAGTGATTGCTGATTGATAATGTCAACAAACAGAATGAGATAAGTAATATATTAGTGGAAAATAAACCTACCTTCCCCTAGGGAATTAGTTACAGAGGAAGGGATAAAGAAAAACCTACTGAGCATTGGTCGATTCCTTTTTGAATGAAAGGAATACCAGGAATATATGCAGCTGTAGTTGGACCTTAATCAGAGAGTCATATATTGTATGGCACATTCCAACCTCTTTGCGTTGACTGATTTTCCCCCATACCCTTGAGTTCTCCCATAGAGAACATGTGGAATAGTGATGTAAATTATGGATTCTGATGGATCATCTGCACCTTTCCCCCTTCAATCTATCACATCTTTTAGCTCACTGTCCATACTGTCATTACCCACGTCTCCTCTTCATGAAAGGTTCCCTAAAGTTATCACCATTAGCTTACTTGTCACAAGAAAGTCCTACCTTTGACAGAAGATGTAATATATGTTTGGGTGTTACATTTAGATCAGCATCTTAAGACCTTTGATTCTAGTGACATTAACAGATACAATACCTCCTCTGCATCATAACTTGATTTATCTCTCCCCTCTCTACCCCTTATGCCCACCCCCTCCCAAAGTGCACAAAACAATAGACTGACTTCCTCTGCCTCCTTCCAACAGGTTTTGGCTCACTGGGGAAACTGGAGGCAAGAGAGACCACTTTGAAAGTTTACAATTTATGTTAACCATTTTTCAGACTAAGGCATCTTCTTACCTTCTAGTCTGACCGCTGGAAATCTTATGGCGGTGAGACTGATCTACTTACAATCTCCCCATGCAGTTTACACCTCCTACTCCAAACTCCCCATTACCCTCCCACATGGAACACATACAGAGCAGGCAGCATCTTTCAAAGCCTCCCCCAGCAATACTTCTGGAAGACAGAGAAGAGAAAAGGTTGGGACTAAGTTGTCAACATTACTGAACCTCCACCCCTATTATCTTTTAAGGGTTCAGAGGCTTTTGTACCTAAGTTATGCATCTCTTCTTCTTCCCTGGGCAACCTTATCATTCTCAGGACCAAAACGCATCCCCGCCCCCTAACCAACACAAAAACAAGCAGACCACACTGCTGTTGCTGCCACTGCCGCCGCCCCAACTGTTGCAGGCACCAGGGGCGGTGGACTGGCATTTCTGTGCCACAAACACAGGACACTCCACACTCAGGAAGGGGGAGCCCCAAGAAAGGCAAGCAGGCAAGGCAAAGCAAGGCAGGCGAACCCCTAAGCATCTTGGGCGATCTCCAGTGGGAGCGTGTGTGGTGGGGGTAGAACCAGGCTTGGGCTTGGGCATGTGTGTGTGTGTGTGTGTGTGTGTGTGTGTGTGTGTGTGTGTATGTGTGTATGTTCGTGTGTGTAAGGGAGACAGGGGCAGGCATAGAGGGTGTGTGTGTGTAGGGGTGATGCTTGTAGTCCAGATGCACCCAGAAAGCCCCGGTAAGAGCAGCAGTTACAGCAGGAGCAGCCTGACCTCCCGCGTCTGACCCCCCCAAACCCGTTTTACCTTTAAGATCAGGTCTGTATGGTGCTGGTCCAGCATATTCTCCTGTTGGAAGGAGGTAATGATGACCCGGCCGTAGCGCCCGGGAGTCTGCAGGTCCGAGTAGAGCCGGTGCTTGGAGCGGTTCACCGGGAAGAGACTGTTGACTAGATTCCTCTCAATCTTGGCCAGGCTGTGCTTGGGCGCCAGCAGGTGTTCCACGCTCTCCTCTATCTGGTAGCGGCTGAAGCTAGCCCCCAGGAGGATGGAGATGAGCACAGGGGCGGAGGCGAAGAAGACTGGGTGACTGGCAATGAAGTGGCCGAGCCGGGAGAAAGACGTCCTCAAGCCTCTGTGAAGAACCTGCCGCAGCATCCTAGTGCAGAGGGAGCGCAGGAGGAGGACAAGGCGCACGCACGGCTGTGGCTGTGGTTGTGGCTGTGGCGGTGGCTGTGGCGGTGGAGGTGGTGGCGGTGGTGGCGACGGGGGTGAGATCTGAAGCTCTCTCGGAGCCCGGTCACAACCATCGGGGAGTCCCGAGCAAAACCTCGGGACAGTCCCCTCCGAGAAGAAACAGACCCTCTTCCCTCCCCCCCTCCCCCAGCCAGGCAAAAAATGTGACCCTCCCCCCACACACCCTTCCTGCCTCCGCACCCCCTACTCCACCCTATATCTCCTTCCCCCTCCCCCCCGCCTCTTCCCAGCAAAAGGGGTTCGGGGTTGGGCGGTTGCTGCTGCTGCTGCTGCTGCAGCTGCTTCCTTCCCTTTCAGCGCTGTCGGGCCCTGGAGAAGTCCTCCCGGCGCCTCATGATCTAACTTACCAAACCCAAATGCCATCGAAGGGGGATGGAGACAGCGACAGCAGCAGCAGCAGCAGAACAGCAGCAGCAACAGCAGAACAGCAGCAGCAACAGCTACGGCAACAGCAGTAGCACCAGGGAGACGCTCGCAGGAGAGAACACGAGGGAAAGAGAATTCCAGGCTACACCCAGTCCCCTCCCCTTCCCTCTCCACTCCCCCTCCCCACAGCCCCGCCCCTCTCCACGCCAGCCCCTGGCAAAGGGAGGCAGTAATAAATAAATAAATAAAGGGATCTTGTTTTCAAAACAAAAAAGTAGGAGTTGGATTTGGAGACCTCTGGTTTCCTTGAGAGCCGCGGAAGGCGAAGGGGGGAAAAAGAAGAGGAGAATGAGAGAGCAAGCTTTACCCCTCCACTTCCCCTCAGGTAGCAGCAAGGAATACACGTTTGCAGAAAGGACTGGGGGGTGGGGGGTGGGGAGAAGAACCCCAAATGCAAAACAACCTTTCTACCAAAAAAAAAAAAAGGCAGTTCAACGAAGGCTAAGAAGGTTTGGAGGAAAGAGAAACTCCAGGATCGGTCTGCCTGTTGTACGTCCAAGGGAGAGCTGGAAGTGCCTGTGTGTGAAGCGTGAGATACCCTCGCGTACACTCTCAGAGCCTAAGGAAGGGCTAGGGGAGAGGAAAAGGGAAGATCCTGCCGGCCTCTCCCTCTCCTCGGGGGTCTCCCGCAATGGTAGGTTGCAAGTCGCCAGCTTCATAGCAAAGCACCCAGTTGGGGAAATTCAAAGCACACGTTTTCCTCTCTCCTCGTTAGTAGCGCTGGGTGGAAGGGCAAGTTCTTTGGTCGCAGTTATTTCTTGATCTGTTTTAACCTCCTCTACCTACGCCATCCCCCACCCCCAGAAAAAAAAAAGACACCCTTCCTTCCCTGCTCCGATTTCCCCCCCTCCCAACTAAGAGTGATTGATGGCAATAAATTACCAGGCATCAGGCAGAGGCAGCCAGCGGAGCAGCGGATCTTCCGAGCTCTCAGGAGTCCTGGGCTCGCCGCGGAGCCTTTTTCTGTCTGCGGGCAGTCCCGGATCTCAGTAACCTGTACGCCCCAAGGACTTGGGGGCAACCCCTCCGCGAGTTTCGGAGCTGTGGAGGGGTCCGCCCACCTGACTGGCAGGTGGGGACCGTAAGGATGGTAAGTGACAAAGATGGCTAATCGCAGTAGTAAAGAAGAGAAAAGGAGCACCCCTCCTTCTTTCCCGACTTAGCGTCTGCTCTCCTCCCTCAATTCACTGTATACAGAGGGAGGGAGGGCACTTACTTGATCGTGACACCCAAGGCAGAAGCTCTGAGAAATAAAGAATGTTCCTTCTTGGAGGAAGGGACTGCCAGAAAGCCTTAAGGGGCACCTACTGCTCCAGAAAGTTTTATATATACATCCATATTTATGGCTTTTTTTCCCCCTCCCTCTCTTTCATCTCCCTCAATTCACCTCAGCAGAAATCCCAGAGAAGACGCAAGACGGGTGCGAATCGCCCCCAGCAGGTCCTCACGCCTCAGACCCGATCGGCAGCGGAGGCGGCGGCGGCAGTAGCTGAAGGAGCAACAACAGCACACAGGTACAATTTTGTGTATTTCATTGGAACCTCAAACCCTTCGCTCTAGTGTGTCAGCGCATAAACCTGAGCTCTGAACTGAGCACACCTAGTCCAAACGACACCCGCAAACAAGATTCAGCATTGGCTGAGAGTCAGAGATAGGCGATTTCCCCTCATTCAGGAGCAGCGTGCTAAGGGTAGCCCCTTTCCCAGGGTGGTATGCCCTCTTCCTCCTTTTCCTTCTTCTCCAGTCCTTCCCACTGGTGCTCAGACTCTGGGTGCACTGTGCTCTGGGTCAGTGCTGTGCTCCAAGGAGGCTGTTATCAAGGGGCGACTTCCCTTGACTTTTCCCGTCGTTACTGGGCATGGTCATCCATGTTAATAAGAGCTGAAGGAAGATTGAAGGGGATGGGGAGCAGAGGAAAGGGATGGTTCGGAAGAGGAGACAGAAGTGATAGAGAAATAGAGAAGACACAAAGAGACAGTGAGACAGAGACTGAGAGAAAGAAACATACAGAGATACACAGAGAGAATTGGGGGGCTGAAGGGGTAAACATGTGTGTGAGAATGAAGGTGGTGGGAGGAGAAGGTATCAGAAAACAGAAAAAAAAATGTATCGGTAGTGAAGTCCTAGGAGGCAGCTCGCAATCACACCCCAATGCAATACTGCTGAATACTTCTGATTGAACTTAGCTACTTGCTTTTTGAGAGAGGGAAGCAGTGGGAGAGAAAAAAAATTTTCACCCTTTCTTCTATCTCTCTGTACTCTCATCCGGGCTGACACCCTCTACCCTTCCCTTTATTATCTGTGGCAGCTGAGAAAAGCAATCCCTTGACGTTGTCCAGTCCACCCACCCCAGAGAAGCATCTTCTATCTCTCCTCTTCTCCATTCATTTGTTATTTCCACCGTGCCTTTCATTGTTCACACACACACACACACACACACACACACACACACACACTTCACTATCCTCTCCATTTCGGGAAAAGTACCTGGAAATGTTTGGGTCCCATAGCTTCCAGTTTCAGCCTCTCCAGATCCAGCTCTCCCTTTCCTTTACTTCCCTTTTCTCCAGAGAAGCAATTACAGGGTGTCCCAAAAGTCTTTATGTAGTTTTAAGCTTTAATACACTTAGATTTTGTGATACTGTATAGAAAGGAGAATATGTCATTTATTGATGGCACCCCCTCTTTGATTTCTGTGTACCCCCACAATATCTCTTCAAGACTGCTCTTTGCTGATTCCTGATTGTGAAGGGGAAAGGGTTTTACTTATGCCCTCTGTAAAAGGAGGGGAGAGAGAGAGAGAGAGAGAGAGAGAGAGAGAGAGAGAGAGAGAGAGAGAGAGAGAGAGAGAGAGAGAGAGAGAGAGAGAGAGAGAAACCGTTCTGTTCTTGGTCTGTTTTCTAAGCTACTTTAGGAAACCACCCACCTTCAAGCAGCTGAGGAGCTAAAAAGAGATTGGAGATCCCCTGCATTACACAGAAGCAGATTGAAAGGGCAAAATGGAAAAGAAGGGGAAAATCAGAAAAGGAGCTTTTGTGTTGTGTTGTGTATGTGTGTGTGTGTGTGTGTGTGTAGGTGTATATGTATGTATATATATGTATATCTGCATATCTGCATGAGAGGTTGTAAGTGCTTCTTATTTGGGTAAATGGTTGAGGGCTTTTGTATGGACAAGAGAAGAAAGTGTGAAGGCATATAAATGACTGTAGTTTTGCCATAGCTTTTCAAAATTTGAATTACTATTACACTAAAGTCTTTTGACTTTAAAATCTGCCCCCTCTCATCCTCACAATCAAATTTCTGGTTCTTTTAAGTCCTGGTTGTGAAATTGTATTCTTAGACCCACCATTACAACACAGGAAGGTCAATATTCAACCAAATGGTGGCCCCAATATTAGCAAAGGCTCTTCTGGAAGGAAAGGCCCTTCACTTATAAAGAGGCATTTACTTATCTCACTCCCTTTACTATCCTTACTGTAGATCTGCTAAGGCAATGGCTTCCAACATTTATGGAGCAATTTTCTTCTTTTGTAAAAATAAGAGTGATTTTTATCTCTATCTATATATAATCCCTATTATAATAAATCTCTACAAATAATATTTTAGCCTGTATTTATTTAAATTGAATTCATTATAATTTTAAAGAAAATGATATTAAACATAGATAAAATTTCAGCATATAATAAAATAATATATAGAGTTATTGACTGATAAAATCCTTTAGAATTTTCACATTTTAAAAATTCTAATCACTATGATATAATAATTATTAATCATTGGGGTAAGGAACAGAATTGTGATTGATATAGGGAACACTTTGGAGAAAACATTTTGCAAATGTGGCAAGGCCATGACCAAAACTTGGATGCAGGTTTTCCTGGTTTCAAGGCAGTTTAGTAACTCACTAGGACATTCTGCTTCTCGATAATCATGATAGCAATATTATTAATGTGATCAACAGACTTTTAGCTCATAATTTCTCAAAACATAATAATATCCATGCACTTGAGATTTTTCTTTCAGTCAATAAAGGAAATTGATATTTTGTTGTTGTAAAAGCTATGACAAAACACTGTTGCACACAAATAAGATGCTTATAAAACATAGCAAAATTTATAGCTCTGAGACAAAATAGAGATTCCTTTATGGAACTATAGCCAATCCTAAAATTTTCATGTTTAAATGTTTGTCTTAGTGTACTATCACAAGATAAATCTATTAACCATTCTTTGGATGGACTAGGAACAAATGTATCATATTTATCCATAGCAAATGGATTCCTTATTCGTTTATACTTAGAAATATCTAGGTCTTTAAGATAAAATAACAATCGCTTTTGTGGAATGATCAAGTGATTAATGAACATCACTATTTTCTTCTATTTCATTTGTAGGGCAGCCTTTTAAAAATTGACAAAGTATTTTGTAATTTTAAAAATTCTGTGCTTAAACTTTAAAAAAAATCACTTCATTTGTACTACTCAGTTCTTTCTAGAATATCCAATAAATATGCAAAATTAGAGAATAAATTTTTGTTTTAAATGGACTTGTTTCATCTTTGACATCATCAAGAAAAATAGCAGTTTCTTCTGTTAGCTCAAGGTACTTTATCATGAGAAAGCCAGCATCTTTTTTTTTTATAATGAAGTACCCTATTCTTTGTGCCTATATTGTTCCACAATTTTGTGAAGAATTTTCCTTTTAATGGACTTAAAATAAGTTAATCAACTTCTAATAACTTGAATAGCAGTATACAGTTTGTCATTCACATGTCTCCACATAAGCGATCATGAATCATGTAATATGTCCAAATTAATTAAATTAATGTTGGCAGATCTGAGCTTTGTCCTGATATTGATTGAATTCCATCAGTGCAGAGTCCAATAGAATTCTTCCACTTTAAATAATTTTGATTAAAAAAAAATCCATCAATTATATTGAAAATGTCACTTGATGTGTCATTGCTATTGTTATTCAGTCCTGTCCAGCTCTATCTACAGTGCCACCTAGCGGCTATTATGGCAAGGATTATGAGGTCTGGCTGCCTCAGGTTAGCCTTCAATCTTTCAGCTTTGTTACCATATTCATTGTTATCATTTAGAAGAATATTTGTATTTTTAAAAGTTAGTAATTACATCTACCTCATAAATCAGCTAAGCTCAGAGGCTCTATTCCATTTTGTTAAATATTACTCATTTAATAAACTGAAAACACTTCCTTTCCCAATAATACTCATCTCTATCTCTGTTTCTATCTCTCACCTACCTTCTGTCCTTTCTCTCCCTCCTTCTCTCTCTCTCTCTCTCTCTCTCTCTCTCTCTCTCTCTCTCTCTCTCTCTCTCTCTCTCTCTCTCTCCCTCTCCCCACACACACACACAAACACACACACACATACACACACGGTATATGGGGTATTCAGGAGGACTAGCACTGCTGGATGTAGTGGCTTTCTGAGCCCTTTTCAGGGATGCTTTCATCCAACTCTCATCTGTGGCTCCAAGAATCTGTAGCATGCACACTGGCCACGCCCCAGTAGAACATGTTGGCAGACAGGCTTAATCAGGTTGAGGGTAACTGATAGGCCTCAAACCTGTCAGCAAGTTAGGGGGTCATCTACCCCAAGCATGTGAAGTCTGCCCCTGGTGGAATGGGCTGATGAAGACAATTTGTTTTGAAGACCATGAAGGTGGCTGAAGCAGGTTATGTGAACTGCTTAGAGCTTGGTCAGGCATTAAGACACCAAGATCATTCACTGTATCCTGGGCCATTGCCAGTAGTCTCCACATTTGTTCTGCCACTGGACTTTGATGACTTAGAAAGAGGGAGTGAGGCTGATGACTGCTACTCTGCTTCACTTAAATATAATTCATAGGCAAGTCAAGACATCATGCCATGATGTCATTGATCCTCTTTGAAAACTGACAAACAACAACAATACATATCTATATATGAATCTCCTATGGTTAATTCAATATTAAAGTTCCTTTTACACAGTTTATTAAAAATTAATCCTTAATAACAAAGGCATAATCATTTATAGTATTTTAGCTATGAAAAAAATGACAACCAGAATCACCTCTCACCACAACTATGATTGCACACAGTTCCTTATATCTGAAGACAAGTCCACTATTCAATTCACTTAATATGCTGAGCAAAGTCTCTTCTCAGGAATTTATCTTCCTTGAAAGATAAAGGTTAAGACAGTTGCATCAGGAAAGGCCTCTATATTCTCTTTCTTTCTGTCTTCTATAGTTTCTGTTTTGTCATGACAGGAAAAGAGTCTAACTTCTCTGAAGCTATCGCTATAAACAGTCTCCCCAACTTTCAATTAAAATGACCATTTCCACAACCTTCCAATTTCCTCTTGTCAATTATAGAAACTTAACTGTAACCATTGTAGTAGAAGCTTTTGAAACAGGAGTTGAATTTCTCCCCATGACCAAAACATTTCTAGTCCTCTGAAAATTGTTCATGGGTATACAAAATCCATTTCAATATCATATTAATATTAATATAACTAATATCATATATAATACAATAATGCAAAGTACCTCTTGATAAGTTGCTTTAAATAAGAAGAAAAAATACAGCATGAACAAAAGTAACAATAATATTTAAATAGAATTATATACAATGTAATGCATAATAATAATGGTAAAATAGAACAATAATGAATACACGTGTCACTACATTTGCACATCAAAATGTGCAAAACTCTACTGTATATAATTCATTAGCAGTAATATCTGGCTACATCAGTAACTACTTCTACTGTTTCTTTTTTAATTTCATTAAACTACTCAGAGTTTGAATAATTTGGTTCTTTTGTGACATACTGACCTTTTTGAATGTTGACATATCTCAGCTTATTGATAGTATATACTCCCTACCATTATGTCTAAGCTTTATAGATTGCCTTCCCTTCTCTGCCCCCCCCAAAAAAAAAAAGTCTTTACAAATGAAGTTTTAGGCAGGAAAGGCATAGCCTGTGGATGAAGGGTTTTTCTTTCAACTAGTTTCTCCTCAGTTCTAGCTAAGTTTTTTGTTTAGGTGCATAGTGTCTGCTTCAATTATTTGTATATAGTTGTTTCAATGTTGTCTCTTCTATTAACCTTTAGAGCAGTTTTCTGAGTTTTTTTTTTTGCCTTTCTTTGTATCCTTAGTGTTTAGTACAGTGCCTGGCACATATTAGGCATTTAATCACTACTTGCAGAATGACTGACAGACACTAGAAACATCACTTTAAAGTTATCATCTATTTCACATAGTTCAGTTATAAGTGGTTGATGGTTTAATTGTTTATCATTACTTTTCTCTTGTTCCTTAGGGTATCTAACTAACTTTCCTTCAGGTTATATGTGTTTTCTATGAATTGTTTTGATAGAATCCCTAATACTTTCTGGTATTTTTCTACTCACTGGTAGGTTGCCTTATCTTTGAACAACTTGAGAAGGAGGAGATCTCTATCTATCTGCTAATTTGTGGTTTCCTTGAACCCCAAAGTTTCTGAAAAAGAAATTGTTACATGGCTATAGTCCTTGGTAATGTACTTGTACATTGGAACTTTGTATATTTCTGTCAGAATTTGTCTGACCTGAGGCGTAGCTAGCTGTTAAGCTTGCCTCTACTCATCTTTAAACTGAGAAATGTATCAATTATGAGTAACATTTCATTCTCCAATACATCTTTTTTCTTCTTCTAAGACACCAAACCATAAGTCAGTAAGTAGGCATGTTTTATACCTAAAAATTAGTAAATATGGTCCAAAACTTGAGGCATCACTTCTGATGGAGCTGTTTGCATGGCTCCACTCAGATTTCTGTTCAGACTTTAATGTTCCCAGCATATTCATCAATGCCCCCAGGACTCCTTGAGGAGAGAAAGTTGTGTAGTTCTTGGTTTCTTAATACATGATGAAGCTAGTATTTCTTTAAATAATTTTCTTTCAAAGTCTCTAACTTGGTCAGAGTAAATCCTGATAGGGCAATAATAGATTAAAGATATTTCTCTTATAATATTTCAGCAGTGATGAAAATGTTATGGTTGAATATGCATAATCAGATATCCTGTGCATATCAATGACATTCTCATTCCCTATTAAAATATGACTTGTATTCTACCTACCTCTCAGTGATTAAAAAACCCCCCACAATACTTATATTCTATAAGTGTATTGTACAAGTTGGTAGTACTTTTTCTTCAATTCAGTGAGCACAAGTGTTACACTTCTTAGTGACATCTGTAATTATCTTGGGCCAATAAAATTTGTTCCTTAGTAGCTCCAGCACTCTCTATTGTTCCTTATATTCAGTCATAACACAGAGTTTCTAGGTAGCGCTAATGGCTTCCTGGTACCGCCAATCCTGTATGGCACAACCCCAACTTCCGTCACAGTCTCAATACTATGATACCTTCTGGGCATTGTAACTTAAGTCTTTTAACATCACTGATTTCTTAGCTTGTATCACTTCTCTTCCAATCATCCACAGACAACTACACCAAAGAGGGTTGGTTTAATGAAACAATGTTCACATATGTTGTTGGCATGTTATCTGGTATAAGTCTTGAAGTTTCAGCTGTATTTCCATTTCATGGTGCTCTGGGTATATAGCTTTATTTATTTTCTTCAGTATTACTATTGTTTTGATGTTACATTGACTGAAATACAGAGCATCAGAATCCGCATTAGTTTTTCCTGGCTGTAGTATATGTTGAATTCAAAATTGGCCAATGCTGCTACTCAGTTCTGGAAAAGAGCATATAATTTGGCAATAGGTAAAAATATGTCAGTGGGTTGTCAGCTTATGTGTGAAATTTAGCTCTATAAACATAATCTTAGCACACTTCAAAGCTAAGAACTCCAAGTTTTGTTCAGGATAACAAGTCTCACTGTCAGCAAGTCCTAATTTGGAAAAGACATGGTTTCTTATAACCTTCATTCTCTTGATACAATATTGTTTCTAATTCTTCCAGGTTGGGTCTGTATGCAGGACAAAAGGCTTCTCTGGAATTAAGTAAAGCAACACTGGAGCATGTGTGAGACAAATGATCACATTTTTTAAAAGCTTGTTCTTATTTATCTGTATGGCAATCACTGTACAAATGACTGCAAAAAGCATAGAGTGCATTGGTCTTCCATGTCCTTCTGTTTCTGATTCTCTTCAATCACACATCCATGAGTAAGATAAGTCTGTAGTTTAGCAACATAATTCTTTATAAATATAAAATAGTAACCTCCATACCCTAGAAAAGCTCTTAAATCTCATAGATTTTGGGTTTTTGCCACTTAAGTAATGCTTTTATTTTGGGGGTCAGTTCTCGCTCCTTGCTGGTATACTATGTGGTCCACATACTTAACAGAGGCTCTGTTAAACTGGCCCTTTTTAATCAATAATCTCAGACCAATCTTTTGTAGTCAATCTAATACTCTCAGAAGTATCTCTTCACACTCTTTCAATGTTTTTATAAAAACAATGCCATCTAGATATAAAACACTTTCAAACAGTATCTTGAACTACTTTCTCCACTAATTCATTTAGGAAGTGGCAAGTGCCCCCAAGATATTTTGAGGCATATTCTCAAACTCAGAAAATTCAGCCAGACAGATGAAAGCTATCTTCTCCTTGCCTTTTTCTGCTATAATACAGTTAAGTGGCACAGTGGATAGAGCCTGGGCCTGAAGTCAAGAAGACTTGAGTTTAAATCTGTCCTTAGACCCTTACCAGTTGTGACCCTGGGCAAGTAATATAATTTTTATTTGCCTCAGTTTCCTCATCTGTAAAATAGAGATAATAGCACCTGCCTCTTTGAGTTGTTGTGAGGATAAAATAAGATAATAATTGTGAAGTGCTTAGAACAGTGCCTGGGTAAGCACTATACAAATGTTAGCTATTATTATTAATGTGTATATTATTACTAATATTTAAATTCAACACTGAAAACCACTAGCTACTTAACATATAATCTGGTGTACTGGTCCACTTAAGTATGTTTATTCAAGGTTAGATTTGTATCTTCTCATTTTTCGTTCATACCACAACTATAGGTGAGGCACATGGGCTGTTAGAATTTTGTTGTTGTTGTTGAATCATTTCAGTCATGTCTGACCCTTTATGACCCCATTTGGGGTTTTCTTGGCAAAGATATTAGAATAGTTTTCTGTTTCTTTCTCCAGATCATTTTCAGATGAGGAACTGAAGCAAACAAGGTTAAATGACTTGCCCAGAGTCATATAGCTAGTAAATTTCTGAGGCCAGATTTAAACTCAGCTCTTCCTGGATGTAGGCCTGGTACTCTATCCACTCTGCTGCATAGCTGCTAGAATTTATGATGATGCAATTAATATTCAATAGTTCTTTAAGGTGATTTTATGGGTGGGCTTTTGGCACCCATCCTAACTTCAGGTATCAGGATGTTATAAATGACTGATTCATCATAAGCAAGGGAACTAGAAAAGAATATGTTTAGTTAGCTTGTAAGACTAGTTGACAAAGATACATATTGGTAGTAATGATTCAGTTTCTATTTCTGGTTCAGTTCAGTTCAGTTCAGTTCAGTGAATTGAGTATCAAGAACTTCCCTGTCTGCCATTTTCTTTATAGAGTTGATGTTTGAGTGGTGACAAATGCAGCCAGATCTGAGGAGACTGGACTGTATCTTACTGGGGGATTTTTTTTTTTGTTGGTATTAGGAGATGCCACAGATCATGGCACCAGTGGAAAATCTTCCATTATACATAAACCAAAGACATAATTACATTCTACCAGACTATATCACAGCCACCCAGAATCCCATAATTCCCAGTGGTTTAAAATCCTATCTGCTCCAGAGCGTAGGGATTTTCCTCTTGAAATCTAATCCATAATGCAGCCTGAGGACTTTCTCTTTGAAATCCTATCTGCTTTCTAGGGCCTGCTCCTTCTATAGACCTCTCTCTATAGAAAGACATCTCTGTAGATCTCTTTCTCTCTGTCTCTGTCTTTCTGTTTCTGTGTCTCTGTGTCTGTTCTATCTCTCTCACTCTCTTTTGCCATGAACTACCACAGGTAAGGTCTGAGATCTACCACAAATAAAGGGATTTTCTTGGAATTGTTGTGAATCAATATGTACAATTATTGGGTCCCAAGTTTTCTTATAACATTGTACCAATACTTTATTTTTTTAAATTTTTCAATATTTTATTTCCCCTCAATTATATGTAAAACCAATTTTCAATATTAGTTGTTTTTTCTTAAAATTTGAGTTCCAAATTCTATCCCTCCTTCCTTTTCCTGCCCCCTCCCTGAAACAGTAAGCAATCTGATATAGGTTGTACATGTACAATCATGTCAAATATTTCCATATTAGTAATTTTGTGTAAGAAGACTTGAACAAGAAAGAAAGAAAGAAAGAAAGAAAGAAAGGAAGGAAGAAAGTGAAAAATGGTATGTTTCATTCTGTGTTCAGACAAAACCAGTTCTTTCTCCAGAGGTGAATAGCATTTTTCATCATGAGTCCTTTGGGATTGTCTTGGATCATTGAATTGCAGAGAATAGTCACATCATTCACAATTCTTCATTGTACAGTATTGCTATTACTATGTACAATGTTCTCCTGGTTCTGCTCACTTCACTTTGTATGTACACTGTACCAATTCTTTAAATAAACTGTAGTTAGTCCCAATTAATGCTTACATTCCAGCAATAGTTGGAGTATACTTCACTCCCTCACACTCTATCATTTCCACTTCTTGAACTATAATCAAATAAACTCTGTCATAGTTCTTGGAAAGATGTGCCATCCCTGTGATTTTCCAAAACAAAATATCCCTTCTTGGCTACTGCTCCCATATATGTGCTTTTTTATGCTATTAGAATATAAACTTGAGGGCAGGGATTGTTTTTGTTTTTCTATTTATACGTTTAGTATTCAGGTCATGCATGGCACAGAGTAAATGCTTAATAATACTTTTTCATTCATTCATTCATTCATTCATTCATGAGGGAGGTTAGGCTCATTTTCTTACACATTTTGATTCATTATGTGTGCTTGTAAGAAAACCTGGGAAAAATTGCTCGAGCTTTAGGTATTGGTTTGTGTCTAGAATCTCTCCAATAGAGGGAAGTAGAAATTTACTCATTGTACAATATGAATCAGGGGTGGAACAAGTATTTATTTTCTACTCACACAAAAAAAATGCTCAATAGAAAACACTCATCAATGTGTATTGATAGCTTTAAAATAGGATTCGGTAACTTATAGCTACTTTCATCATATACTGGAAAGTTTATACCTCAAGCTATCTAAGCATGAAGCAGTTTACAGTACTGCTGATTAGGCACACCACATTTCAATTTGGCTCTCCACTCAAAGTCTATGTTTTTTGTCAAGCCAAACCAGGAAATATACTCATTCTCTGATGAAAAACTTCATTTGCTACTGGTCAGCTACACTAATGGCTCCAGGATTTCTGGACATCTCAAGCTCACAAGGTCATCTCCAAGCTCAGACCACCTTGACATCAATGTTCCATCTCCTACTTAGGAAAGAAAACAAAATCAGAAGAGATAATCAGGCTCTCTCAGGCACAGATTTGCATAGTTGAGTGCCTCGTTCTAGCTATGATGAAGGAGTAGCCACAGTGTGTGCAAAGTGGAGAAGAACCAAACTTCCTCTACCCCTGAAAGAAAGTCTCAAAATAATTTGCTAACTGGAGAGTTGAAGGAATAAGGAAGAAGAGGTGGAGTTACTCCCTTTTCAAAAGTCCACTGAGTCATTGGCTCTTCTGACACAATGGCCGATGAGGGGGATTGCCTAATTATCTCAGATTATCAAGTCTCCTTTTGGTTAGCCAGAAGCAAACAGGAAACTTCTTTGCATGTGCTGTGCAGCACCCTTTACACATGCATTTGGCTTATATCCATAGATATTTCCTAGCTTCTTGAAGGCCATGCTTATAGAGTGTAAACTCTGTCAAGACCTACCAATATTAAAAAGCTTTGAGTGACAGTCTAGCGGTATGTTTAGTGAGCCTTAGCATTGGAGACTTCTTCATTATTTTTGGCTACATTTGGGGAAGAATGTTTAATAAGTGAGGGAGTGATTCTGAACTGCATCATTAGATATAGTACCCACGCTGATAAAATCATGTCATTCTTGAAATATTAAAATGCATGTATGGAAACTGGGCTATTGGTAAATTCAATTGCAATTAACTTTGTGCTAGGTGCTAGAGATACAAGCACAAAAATGAAACAATTTAAGAAGCTTAGATTCTAGCAGGTAGGTGGGGACAGAACAGCATGTATATGGGTAAGCAAACATGTAACATAGACTAATTTCAAGAGAGGAGAAAAACTCAAATCTGGGTGGAAGGAGGAAAGGGAAAGGTCTTATATAGGAGTTGGTATTAGAGCTGAGCTTCAAAGGAAATTAGGACTTCCAAGAGGTAAAAGTGAGAAGGGAGTATATTCCAGGCATTGGGAACAGCTTCTCTAAAGGCATAGCAAAAGGAAGTTTTATACACACACACACACACACACACACACACACACATAATATATACATATATATTTATATATATGTATATATATATACATGTATATATATATGTATACACACATATATATATATTTATATATGTATATATGTGTATATATGTGTATGTATATATGTGTGTGTGTGTACTATATGAGGATCAGCAAGTTGGTCTGTTTAGTTAGAGCATAGACAGCATAAAAGAGAATAATATAAAATCAGCCTAGAAAGATAAGTTGGAGCCAGACAATAAAGAATTGTAAATGCCAAGCAGAGGAATTGCAAATTGCAATAGGAAGTCATTGAAAATTTTTAAACAGGAGAATGATATGGTGACATATGTGCTTTAGGGATATCAATTTAGCAGTCCTGTCTAGGATGGATTAGAGAGGGGAGATTGAAATTTGGGATATCATTTGATCAATGAGGAGGTTATTGAAATGGTCTAGATCAGTGGTGTCAAACTCAAATAAAAGTGGAGGCCACTAATCTGTATGTAAGGATCTCTGTAGGACACATAT